TAAACCGAAACTAGTTTTTACAATAAGTTCGTTTTGTAGTGCGATCACAAACCGTAGGAATTTAGCCCACAGACATACATTAACCATGGTTTTTATACTTGGATAATTTTACCCGCTTCAAGCTGTGCCAGGTTACCAAGTGGTCGAGTGAATGACGGTCGAGTGAAAGTTTAGCGTCCGAAAAAAAATTCGAGAGTTCGCACTCATTTGAAATCGGGTGTAATTCAAATTTGTTTATTTTCCTTTTGAACTAAATATAAGTAGCTTTTCTCTGATCGGTTTTGATACAATATCTGAACCGAAGCTTTTCCATTGCTATGCTTCACACCCTTCACAGATAAGATCGTATAACAATCCAGGGGAATCCAGGTTTGTTTATATTCCAAGATCGCGAGTAGAGTTAAAGATCAATTCATTGTCAACCGTTCTTATAACTAGTTACGCAAAGCTATTTAATACCTCCTTTACTGAGGTTATATATCTTTTAAGGTATAAGATTTTTATTGTTCTCCGACAGTGTTCGCTTCTAAATTATGTGAGATAATCTGAATGACATATAGAACGACATTTCCTCTTCTGTTCCTCACGGTTTACAGGTGAATGACTGTGATTGATGTGCTTGCTTCCATAAATTAGGTACATGCTCGAGACGACATTTCATAGCAAATTTTCACTAAGCTTTGTTTTGACTATTATCCARTTCTAGATCATAAATATAGCGCATTCGAATTCTTTATGGTCAATATAGTAACTAGAGGTGAGTCCATGCGTTCACAATCCGTTGACCCSACTGCCTTAACAACAAAATTTGTCTATTAAAATCATCTTTGTGTATCTAAAAATCAAAATCAGTCCATTATAACTTTTTCCCAGTGTTTAGTATYTTTTATGGTTGTTTTGGACTTTAGCCATAACAACTAGTTCAGACGACTGAATAGCTACAATATYTACAAATTGACCGAATTTAAGGAAGCGATATTATTTTTTTCTCTTACCTGTCCTACGGTTGAGAAAATTAACCAAAGCGAGACGGAACCATGAAATCGCTTGAATTAAASGGAATTAACACCAAAAATTATTTTTAGGATTTGAATCCTCTAAGATTGGTATTTGAGGGAGTTGTTGAAAAAGGCGACCAGCGTTACTAGTGTTGTTATATTCACAACAAAGAATGACCTGCTTTCCAACTTTTGTCAGTGATGAATTATTCATTTGTGCATGCGATCAAAAATTACGCTTTTAAGTTCATTTTTGAAAGATTGACATACTTTTKCTGCCATTATTAGCGTTACACGGGTGTTACTCTTTATTTGACAGGTTAGATTCTTGAATTATCTTCAGTGATAAGTTATTTTCCAGTGATCAATATTTTTTGCCAATGAGATGGGAGCTGGCCCACAAGCGGAACTACAATTGCTGTTTCAGTAGACGACTTTTCAAATTCTGTYAACAAAAATTAAAAGAATAAAAGACRCCCAAAGACACTAACAACCAAGAAACTTTATTTAAGAGGCAAAATGCTTTTCWGGCTAGGATATTCACAGCTTCAGCCGCTACTACATCAGAAGACGTTTCAACAACGCTGGATGAATTGACTACATRGTTAAAATCGCATTACATCAGTACAGGTATCAAAATTAAATCGTTCTAATCTTACCAGTTTCTACCAGGTTTTGAATCAAGACGACGTTTTTGTCACATGAAATGACCTTTATTTGGTTTTTAGATTTCAAAGAAAGAACTGATATGATATGCATTAAGGAACCTGCACGTAGTAGATTGTATTTTCAGAAGTTAACCTAAACAGGATCTTATATATATAAATGTTCATTAACACATCTTCCGGCTAGTTGTGATCTTAAAGTCTTCTTAAATTTATCATTATTGGACTATTTGCTATTTTCTAATCAAACCGCTCCTGCTCTCYGTGCACTCTCCTCCCACCCCAACCCCCTCATTAAAGAACACAAACTGTAAAGTACTTTACATTTACAGTACGTTTTCAAGAGTACTTTTTACGCACCAGGTTAGGTCAAAAACCCAGAATATGCTGAAAGCTTTAACTGAAACAGGATAAATGAGAAACTTGATGGTTGTTAATGATCCTTGGGCCTGATGGTCCTGACAATGGTTTTGGAATCGGATTCCTCTGGATAAATATCAACGAGGGCAATGACTATATTTGGGATCCCATTTATCCTGTTATATCTAGGTGTAGTGACGAAGTTAGCTCAATTAAATTCGAATCTTTAGTGTAGTCATAGAGATCATTGAGATTAATTAACTTATTCAATGTTTCTCTCCTACCAATTCTGAAAAGTGAGACTATTTTTATGATCGCTAATGACATGAAGATGACAGATTTATGGGACAGTAAARAAGGCCAAAGCGGAGCAATGGCCACACCATCCTGAACTCTGTCGAATACTGGGTAGTTTGGTGTATTTCAAATCACGTCATCGCTACTATGGTGTGCAGAAAAATGGTTTCACCTCAACCTTCACGTCCTTACCTAAGGGATCGTGCGATCTGGGAATATTGAACGATATTTTGGAGCGGGATCTTTCTTCCTTCTTGCATATGTAGATCTGCATGTACAAGGACAATAACATTACATACACTGAGAAGTTATCTCATGTACACTGTCTAGCTAGTGAAGCTTCATTAAACATTCTCATGTACATACATGTGGTGTGTTATGCCTTTATATTAGTATCACTAAAATTATATCACCATCCTATGACTTAATGAATAGGTTTAGGGAATATAGGGTCAGGAAATAGTGCCGGGATTGATATTCATTCTTGCCATTCAAATCATTCTTCATTCCAGCTTAATTTTTGAAAATTTTCTAATCTGTTCTCTACATAATATATACAATGAGAGACCTTCTGTACGTGGATCAGTGTCAATGTATTTGTAACATATTTGTATAAATAAGGCTCAGCCGTGGTTTATACTCTGATAAACGCACACTTGGTATTTGAACTCCGCACACGAGAAAATGTCAAGAAGCACGAGCTGAAAGCGAGTACTTTTTGACATTTTTGAGTGTGTTTCGAATGTAAAGCGTGCGTTTATCAGAGTATAAACCACAGGMAGACTTATTTATTTGTTTTATTATATAGATTTTGAGCAAAACTTAAGCAAAAATCCATTTTGTTGCCTTTTTCAAAACTCGCTCGCGCACAATCGTGGTTTATACTCTTATCATCATGAAACCACACTTTTTTGGTCAATCAGAGTGTGCGTTAGAAATCATCTCAATTTCGAGCCCAGAGTCTTCACGGCTAAAGTCAATCTCGTACCCAGAGCCCACACTTTTGCCATCCAGCGGATGTCAATGCGTGAGAGACTCTGGAGGAAACAATTTTTTCTCGATTCGTGATTGGTTGAAAATCAGCGGTATGCTGACGCCGGAAAGACTCTGGAGGAATCGACTGGATTTGCGACGCTTTTCCGTCGCAAATTATGCAAATGAGGTCAATTTTGTTTTCTGCTTTTAGAGCATTAAAATTATAAAAAAGAAAAAGGTTTAGTACATAACTTACTTTAGGAACGGCATTGACACCTTTTTAAAAACACAAATGTGTGAAAACAAGGCGAGCGCGTTCTGCCGACTTAAAAAACCGACTTGAAAACAATGCGCGCTCGCGTCATTTTCAACCAATAAGAAATCGACAAATAACGCATTCCCCCAGAGTCTCTCACGCATTGACTTCCGCTGGATGGCAAAAGTGCGGGCTCTGGGTACGAGATTGAAATCATCTATATAATAAATCCATATGTACAGTCGTAAGACAGATTCTTCTCATAAATTGACTGGGCCGGGTCAAAGACTTTGTGGCGGCGACTTAATACGATCTTAGCAAAATTCCAATATTCTCACTGATTGGATGA